ATTTGAGGATGAGTATTTTTCTATCTCATAGGAGGGACTTTAGCACAATGGTGGAAAGCACATTTTGCATACAGAAAACTCCAGGTTCAATCTCCAGCTTAAAAGGACCTCAAGTAGCTGTGCTAGAAAATAATCCCACCTGAGATCATGGAAGTCCACTGTTGGTTACTGCAGGTAGGTAGATCTGATGTGGTTTAAAAGTAGCTCCATATGAGAGATGTTTGAGCTTTTGAAGCTGGTAGTGCAGGGGCACATTGTTGCTTGGAAAAACTGATGCTGCTTTTAAAAATAGCACTGTCTACTTGCATGATACCTCTTATTCAGCTTGCATGTTTGTGCACTTGGGACAGAGAGGAATTCCCATATAGTGTGAATTATGCATGGAAGATTCCTTGGGTTAGATGTGGATGCTCTTCTGTATACTGTATTGTATCTTTGGTTCTGTGGGTCCCATGCTCACCTCTGCCTCCTCCCCATACGTTTATAATTGCTCTTATGGGTTTGGCATAAAGGTGATGCACTGAATGAAATTTAGAGGTGATGAGAGAGGTTTGCCACACAACTGGTACTACTTAAATATTACGTTTTCTATTCATTTGCTTCTTTTTCTTGTTTCTTGGTGGTTAGGCTCAGGGAAAGGGCCAATGCTCAGTGGTACAGCACCTGCTTTGCATGCAGAAGGCCCCAAGTTCAATCCCCAGCATCTTCAGGTAGGGCTGGGAGTGAGCCCACATGAAATCGATGAGAGCCATTGCTAGTCAATATAGACAATAGATGGTCTGAATCAGTAGAAGGCAGCTTCCTATGTCCATATGGCAAAGAGACAGATAGTAGTAATACATTGCATTATTAATTCTACTAAGAAAGAAAGTGACCTTGTGGAAGACACTCAGAAACACTTGAAGAAATGAGAAGCACGGTCAAATACTTTCAGTTAGCATTTGATGGGGACATGATTTGATTTCATGTTGGCTGCCCCATAGCATAATGGAACATCAGCTGTGTGTGCTAAAGCAATAAGATGTTGGTGGTGTGGATTATGATGATTTAAATTTATTAGTCACTTGACACATCAAAAGTCTCTAAGCTGTGATCCCTGCATTGCAGGGGTTTCGGACTAGATGACTCTTAGGGAACCTCCCAACTCCACAATTCTGTGATTCTATGTGACTTAAAAAAATTAAGAGCAGAAAGCATGGCATAAAATGGGAAAACACAATGCATAAAAGCCATACAATAACCTATAAACCAAGCAAAATAAAATAGCAGCAAAATTTCAGCAGCAAAACAACAAACCACCGATAGGCAGGAAATCATCCTCATCCATCAAATGCCTGAGAGCAGAGAGATGAAGTTTTACCCAACATTGAAAGAGTGTTAATGATGGTGCCAGGTGTACCTCACTGGGAAGAGCATCCCACCATCCACAAGCATGAGCTGTAACTAAAAAGAACCCTTCTCCCTTGATGCAAGCCTCTGAATCTCCCTCAGAGGTGGAACTTGGAAGTACTCCTCCGCTGAAGATGGAAGGGTCTGAGTAGGTTCATATTCAGAGAGGTGCTCTGAAAGCTATTGAGATCAAGAAAGTAGAGAAGGCATATTTGCTATATATAGTTTCAGGAGTTTAAACAATGTGAAAGAGAAGGAACCATACCTCAGTGCAGGGGTCAGCAAACACTTTCAGCAGGGGGCCGGTCCACTGTCCCTCAGACCTTGTGGGGGACGGACTATATTTTTTGAGGGGGGGAATATGAATGAATTCCTATGCCCCACAAATAACCCAGAGATGCATTTTAAATAAAAGGACACATTCTACTCATGTAAAAACATGCTGATTCCTGGATCGTCCGTGGGCTGTATTGAGAAGGCAATTGGGCCGGATCCAGCCCCCAGGCCTTAATTTGCCTACCCATGCCTCAGTGGATAGTAGTTCAGCTCAGTGGTTCAGCATGCAGAAGATGTATCAGGTTCAAAGGTAACAACAGGAAGAATTAAAGGAACTATTGGAAACTCAAGGCAGTAGAGATATAAGATGATCAGAGCCCCACCGAACCTGAAGCATGGGAAGCCCCAATAAAAATTTATAATTTGGCGGAATATTTGGATATGTATTTTTATAATTTGGAATATTTGATGTGATTTGATTGAATTGTTAAAATGTAAAATTTAATAAAAATTATTTTTTAAAAAAAGATGTATCAGGTTCAACCCCTGACTTGTTTTCGAATAGCAGACATTGGAAAGACCATTGCCTGAAGCCCTGGAGAACTGTTGCCAGAGCAGATGCAGAGTTGACTGTATCAGCATCCAAGTCACTTCCAGCTCTCTGATTCCTTCAAAATCTATGATTCTGTAGACCAGGGATAACCTATGTGGTGACCTCCAGATGTCGTTAGAAAACAGCACCCCTCATCCTTGCCCATTGGCCATCCTGCCTGAGCCTGATGAGAACTGGAAATCAGCATCTGGAAGGTACAACTTATATGCTACCTGTGCTAGAGACATCAACATGGAGCTACTTGAACACATAGTCTGTCAATCTCCCATGGTCTGCTGATTTGTCTCCCCCCAGTTGTCAGTGGCACTCATCTATACTTGTGGCTGAATCTTAGTCTTTTCAATTTCATTTGGTACTTCCTCAGTTGACCATTGAGGTACTGTAAGGAAGAGGCATCAGTGGTGGTCCTTACCAAGGTACTGGGGCCACAGCATGCCCAAGGATGCCAGGTTCTAGAGAGACATGCCCTTTAGGTTTCCGTCTCTTTTCTATTCCATGATGAGCACTACCTTCAGAATCACTTGCAAAACCTTCACCATTAGCTGGTATGGATTCTCTATTTTCAGGTTGTGTCTAGGCATGACACTGCTAGGTTCTTGAATTAGGAGCATTGCCAGCATATTAGATTCAGAAGAAATAAAAGATTTAGTCCATCTGCTTGTTTCATCTCTCCCTCGCAATCTCTTCTTTGTTATACTCTCGGTTTCACAGTCCATCAGGTTCCAGTGAGTTAAACCCAGATTCTTTCAGTGTGGCCTCTTGCCCTCTTCCACCTCTGAAAACAGCTTCCCTTAACTTGCAGCCTAAGGAAAAGCCGAGCAATTTGGTGTGAGAGACAATTACCTCTGCTGTTTGAAAAGTTCTCCCTAACCTTTTGTCACAAGTTGAGTAACCTCAGCCTTTCACCCACTGCTGCTTTCTGCGTTTGCTTCTGCCAGGGGACCTCATTAATTGTATTGAGCAATGCATGCTAACAGGCAGTAATGCTTTCTCTTTCTTCCAGGAGCTTGTTTGCTAAACAGCAATTGAAATGTCTCTTTTAAGTATATTTAATGCCTATCAAAAGTGCCACATTGATTGTCTTGTGAGAGCTGTTAATTCACATGGGACCTGATTCCGTTAGTTCCTAGAGTGGCAAAAGCTCTATGAAGTGAAGTGAATGGGTGGGTGGGTGCATGTGATTCTCAAGCAAATGGTTATTAGCCAATGTTACTTCTACCCAGAATAGACTTACCGATATTAATGCACATGATTAACTTAGTTCCATTAATTTTAATGGGTCTACTCTAAAAAGGACTAGCATTGGACACAATCCAAAGTCTCCAACTTGCTCACATGTTATGAAGTGAACAAGGACATGCCTACCCTATTACATATGGCAGGAGTTGATATCAAAAACCATGTGACATCATATGGACTAGCAAAGTTATTGTGACATAACCTTTCATGGTCTGGAGTCCACAGGGGAATCTAGACCATGAAAGCTTGTGGTATAATAAAACTGTTAGAGCAGCATCCAAACAAATAAAATGCTAATTGGTCAGAGGAATAACTTCATGAGCAATATATTACAACCCTTATATTACAACCCTTATTATCACCCATCTGTCAATACCTCACAGGCCAATGGATGCCCTCTTCTGTGGAGGAAGGATGGGGAAAATATTTGTATCGTTACTATATTTCCTATGTATACATGCAGTGTTTGAAATTCCCATTATTCTAGATGCATTCTACAACATGGAATTTCATTAGAGCGAGCACTTTCTGAGCTCTGGGCACAGTGCTGTGCCTAAGATTTCTGAATAAACTGCAGAATGGAAGGAAAGGGGAACCTTTTACCACCTCCCCACTTCCAGCTATTCTCCGAAGACTGGAGAAGAGACCCTCTTAAGAATATTAGGGGGGTGGGCAGGGGAAGGACTAGACCATGTGAAAAACGAACATAATATTTCAGCTGCAGTTCATTCATTTTCAGCTTTGTATTCTTGTTATTAAATAAAGCTTGCCTAGACATTGTTGCGCCCATTTAGCTCCTAGCTTTCCTATCTAAGTTTCTAACCCTGTATACATGTATCTATCATTGCAGTGTTTTCATTGACTTTTTCTCAAGATTATCAAGGCAGAGGTGAGGGAAGGACAGGCAGGAATAAAAAGGAGGGGACTCAAGTCTATAGTAAATATATTATTATTTATTTCATTTATTAGATGCATTCTCTCACTGCAGGCAACTCAAGGAGTCTTTACAAAAAATAGAACTAAATAAAACTGATACAATCATTAAAGCCAGGGTGGGGTTGAACAGAGACCCCACCACTCCCCAAAATATAATACTCAACTGTTAAATCCTGTTTTAAGTAGATCTCTGTTGCAGAGCACAATTTCCTCTTGGATGTTGCATACCGGTGGTGGGTTGCCTGTTCTAAAATTCACCTCCATCACTGCAGTGTTTAATGAATCCAAAGAGACAAATCCCAACTTTAAATTTCACTACAGTCACAGCTGTAAAAACTTAAAGTCCCTTACTTGACACATTTCCATTGATCTCAGAGAAATTCTCAGGAGAAAATTGGTTCTGGATTAAGGCCCTGGAATTAAAATGAGCACTTGGTGGGTACTGAAGAGCTCTCTATGTGACAGACAGCTGGGAAAGTGGTCTACATATGCCAACACCCAAATCTCCCCCCCCCCCCGACCATCAATAATTATTTCCAGGCTCTCTTCCTATGCGGATAGGTTGAGAAGCTGCAATTGGCATTCATCTGTCTCAAGAGACAACTGAATGTGCTTCCAGGGTGAAACAATGGAGAACTACAGTACCTTCTGTCACTGCAAAGACCAGTAACTCATAACTGCTGCCTCCCATGTTGTTTTTGCTGCATTTAGCAGTCCCAAAGTGACCTCCCTGGGGTGCAAGCCAGGGCAAAGTGTATGGAGGTCCTGGGTTGTCAAGAAGACAAGACCCCCTCTCGGTCTCACTGATGTGGTCCAAAGGAAAGCAGAGCAATGCATTTGCCACCAGCTTAGCTGCAGGAGTTGCTGGAAGGATTCGTACAAGACGCTATTCAACCATCTTACGGACTCCGCTCTGGATTTGTGTAGGGTTTACTCCTTCTCCTAAAGATGTCCTGCAAGACAGTGGGTACAGATTTTCCCCTCTAGGTTTACTCCCGAAGCCTTTACATGAATAAGTATAGCTGCAAGGCAGTAGAGGTTTAGGTTCAGGTTTATCTTCTCCTAAGTGGGCTACCTTCCCAAGTTGCTAAGTCTCATCTACCCCTCACATCCCTCTACGGCCCATGCAGAAACCGCCTTCTTGACCATTGGACCCACTATTAGTCTCATCTACTCAGTCTGCCAGGGCCTGTCTTTGCATGCAGGGCAAGCCCCTAACTCACCAAGGGTTTGAGAACCCATCAGCTACCCTCACATGGTTTAGGCAGCCAGTCAAAGCCATTTCCCAGGGTGTGGTCACTGTCGCATGCTGTCAGCTCCCAGGAATCACAGCTCTCACCTGAAGCTGTAGTAGAGATAATAGAATTGAGTTACTGAAAAGCCATCTACTTCCTCTGCGACTAACCCAGTGCTTTATTATCTACTTAAGGCTTTTCCATGACATTATTGCTTTCTTCACTTATTTCTGTTTTACTTTATTGTTATTCATTAGATTTATATCCCACCCTTTTATCCAAGGAGCTCAAGGTCACATACACAACTCTCTCTCTCTCTCTCTCTCTCTCATCCTCCTAATGGCCTTGTGAGGTAGGCATAGGTTGAGAGACAGTGGATGGCCCAAGGTCAACTAATGAGCTTCATGGCAGAGTGGGGATTTGAACTCACATCTCCCAGATCTCATTTGTAGGGTGGGCAGGGAGGCAACAACAACCCCAAACCTTTCAGTGCAATAGAAACTTATGGCTGCAATCTTTAACTCACCTACCTGGGAGTAAGCCCCACTGAATTCCATAGGACTTGCGTCTAAGAGAAGTGATCAGGGTTAGAACAGCACAGCCAAACCTTCTCACTGAAAGGCTACCTTACGTTTAAAAAAATCAGGCAAGGAAGGTTTATGTGAGGTGCATTCAAACATGCAACACCCCCTGTATCTGCCATCTAAAATGCTCTGCTAGAGAAAAACCCTTGACATTGATTGGATAAACAGGTCCTTCTTGTTGCTCCTGGCAAAGAAGAGTACAAGCTATCAGACTCTTAACTGTACCACCACCAGCAGATGTTGCTGTAATATTCTGAACGATCGAAAGGCATCAAATAAATAAAAGACCCTGGAGGATACATTCAAGATATTTTCTGGTATTTAATGAATGCATTTCCAGCAAAATGCTTTGTAACAGCATTAGTATTGTGACTGGGGTGGGGAAATGCCCACAGATGTTTATGCATACTAGAAAGATATCCATCCTATATATCAGGAATGGGCAACCTGTGGCCCTGCCGATGTTGCTTGAGGACAAAGCTCGTCATCCCTGTATATTTACAGAAATATTGTAAAATTAATGAATGTTAGAAGGATGCTGGAAAGAAGTTATATGGCTTTAGTAGAAATGTTATTAAGAATTAAGTAAGAATGGATTGATTATGGGTAAAGGTGTAAAATTCAAGGCTAAATTGCATTAAGATAAATTATGGAACTAAATTTGAGAAAGAGGGAAAGGACTTGCTGAAACAACTAATTGAACTAGAATACAAAAAGGGAGGTGTGAGGAAGTCAAGGAAATAAGCAAATGAAAGATAAGGACATGAAAATATTGGGGTTTTTTTCTTTTTTAAATGTTTTTGCTTTTTAAATGTTTTTGTTTTTTCTTTCTTAATGTTTTGATGTACTGTAACTGTTGTTTTTTACTGTATTTTTTCTTTTTTTAAAATCTACGTTTGAAGTTCTGTAACCTTTTATTGTTTGTTTTTCTTTTTTCTGTATTTGTTAAACCCTAATAAATATTTTTTTAAAAAAGAAAAAAGAGAAGAGAAGACTCCCTGGAAAAGACCCTGATGTTGGGAAAGATGGAGGGCACAAGAAGAAGGGGACGACAGAAGACGAGATGGTTGGATAGTGTTTTTGAGGTTACCAGCATGAGTTTGACCAAACTGCGGGAGGTAGTGGAGGACAGAGGTGCCTGGCGTGCTCTGGTCCATGGGGTCACGAAGAGTCGGACACGACTAAATGACTAAACAACAACAACAACCACAGGAAAGGGTGACAAAAATGATCAAGGCGATGGAATGAATCCTGTTGGAGGAACGATGACAGCGTTTGAGTCTTTACCGTTTTGAGAAAAGGCAAGTAAGATAAATGTATTAAAAAATGTGCATGGTATGGAGAAAGAGGACAGAGAAAAGTTTTTCTCCCTCTCTTATAACACTTGAACTCAGGAACATCCAATGAAGCTAAATGATGGGAGATTCAAGAAAGACCAAAAATAGGACTACTTCTCCACACTGAGCTTAGTTAAACTACGGAAATTGCTCTCCCAAGAGGTATTGATTGCCACCAACTTGGATGACTTTAAAAGAGCGTTAGACAAAATCACGGTGGATAACGCTATCAATGGCTGTTAGCTAGGAGCCAGCAATCAGGGCTGAATAATAAGACAGCAATCCTAACCCCAATTACGTGGGAGAAAGCCCCACTGATTTCAATGAGACTTGCTTTTGAGTAGATAGGGTTAGGATTGCAGCCTTCGAAAGAATCAACGGACAAGCAAGGTAATGGAGCAAGCCAGACACTAGGCTCAAAGGATACTGGCATTCTTGAAATTCAAGCAATGCTTAACTGTTAGAAGACGCCTTCTCATAATCCTTCATGTCTAGCTGAGTCAATTAGCTCTGAGACTTGGGGTTCTAAAGCTTCTAGCTTGGGCTGCTATAGTTCCTACCACCCTCTTGAAACAGCCTGAAATAAGATAGGGAGAAAAGAGGATTGTGAAAGAAGGCAAAAGACGACCAGTGGTATGACCATTGCAATTCACCCCAAAGCGATTATGTATTTTTACATTCTTTTTCAAATAAAATATCACAAAGTCCAGTGTCACCAGGAATTTGCAACTAATTAATATATATCGTACCATTGGGTTCATCTGGCAAGATGCCAGATGCCACCTAGTGCTTTGAATTCAGGCATGTCCTATCAAATTTAATATTCTATTATCCTTAAGTTTCATGGATGAAAGCCTGTATAGAATGGATGAAAGCCTATATAGAATGGCTTCAGCTATTGTTTATTTATTTGTTTATTTATTTATTTATTTATATTTTGCTTGTTGCTTTATCTTGCCCAAAGCAGCCCAAAGCGACTTACAACCACCATAGTAGACCACCATAAGGCAATGGAAATCCTGCACTCCTTGTCCCAGGTGACCAATAAGCGTGTAGTGCATGGGTAGGCAAACTAAGGGCCAGGGGCCAGATCCAGCCCAATCGCCTTATAAATCCGGCCCACGGACTGTCCGGAAATCAGCATGTTTTTACATGAGTAGAATGTGTCCTTTTATTTAAAATGCATCTCTGGGTTATTTGTGGGGCCTGCCTGGTGTTTTTACATCAGTAGAATGTGTGCTTTTATTAAAGATGCATCTCTGGTTATTTGTGTGGCATAGGAATTCATTCATTCCCCCCCCCCCAAAAAAAAATAGAGTCCGGCCCCCCACAAGGTCTGAGGGACAGCCCCCCGCTGAAAAAGTTTGCTGACTCCTGTGGCAAGAAGAGAGAAGTGGGATGGGCCAGTTGTTGATGGACTGGTGCTAGAGCAGGGCATTGTAGCCCTTCACAAAGCATACTTGGCAAGCAGCTGCTTTGGGGGGGGGGGGTAATATGGTGCAGCATTAGTAGCTGTGCTGCCTGCTTTAGAAGTCTGCTTGATTCTAATACATACTAACTGCACAGTTGTAAACAAACAAAAGCTAAAATAGCATAAGTCTCCAGTGTGCTCTCTCATTCAAATTCCACTGGCACTGCTCCAAGATTTCTCACTGCTCAGGGAAGCAGTGAGAAATCTTGAATAGATGCAGTTGTTTACTCTCATGTCAAACAAGAATTTTCACAAGTTGGCAGTTGTGTCATAACTGCAGACCCCCCCCCCCCAAAGTACCTAATCATTACCGTAGCAGCTTGCCAGAAGTAGCCAACTCCATCAGCACAGAGAACAGTCATGGATGACACCTGGAGGGCACCATGTTGCCTATCGCTGAGCCAGGCAGTGCATACTCCCCACCCCCAACTCGCTTCAAGCAACTCTTTTTCTTATATTGTAAGCATTGCTTTTATTCTAGCTCTGTGTCAATAAAAATGCACAGGATGGATTCATTGTCTATTTAAAATATTTGTATACCATTTTTTTCAGGTGACCCTCATGAAGCACCTTGCTTAAGAATACTAAAACTGTAAGTAGGAATGTGTGGTGTAGTGGTTAGAGTGTCAGACCAGGACCTGGAAGATCAGGGTTTGAATCCCCTCTTGGCCCGCAAAGCTCACTGGGTGACCTTGACTCAATCAATACCTCTCAGCCTAATCTAGTTCACAGGGTTGTTGTGAGGATAAAATGGAGAGGAATAGAGCCATGTGTGCCACATTGAGCTCTTGGAAGAAAGTATAAATGCTAATGACGATGATAATAATAATAATAATAATAATAATAATAATAATAATTTGATTATATAGCAAGGACAAATCTGCCCCGCCCCCAGATCAAGTAAAATAATAGAAATACTTAACTAACTGACCAATCATGTCAGTTCTGCCCCCCCCCCCAAAAAATCCTGGCTACGCCCATGATAGTAGTCAAACCTAACAAATGCATATTCTTGCTATTTAGCAGGAGAAAGGGCTAACAACATATTACTCACTGGCAGAGACTTCTCCCTCCCTAACCCCAGCTGCAGGGAGGGAGGAAGACACTTTGTGCATGTTCAGAGGCACTGTGTTCCGACTTCACAACTTTTGAAGAAGTGATTTTTAAAAGGGGGCCTCCTCATCAGTGAATCGAAGAGCTGGCCTCGCTTCACCCTCTTCCCTCAATGGCTTTGCTCCCTTCCAAACCCAGCGCTTTGGAAGAAACTTCCCAACCAACCACCTACCCGAGAAAGGCATTTTCAAGCAAGACGCTCTAGCTGAAGCGAACAGTGAGCCTGCTCAGCTCAGCCTCCCCTCCTGCGCTGGGATAGGTGTCCCAGACGGGCTTCCTCAGCTGGTGGAAGACGAGCGAGTGAAGCGAACAGGCAGCTCGACTATGTGAATGTAGATGAGTTTTTCATCTCCTCGGTCCTCGCCCTCCCTTTCTCTCCCCCCCCCAACCAACAAAGCACGTGACTTCGCACCGGCGCTCTGCGAGAGGGAGAAACGATGCAATTGCGAAACGCACACACACACACAAGGAAGGAGGCTGCGATCAAGTGCGACGCCTTTTCTCTCGCTCCATCGTTCCCTCCTAACATCCTTATTCTCTCTGGATGTATGTCTCGCTTCTTTCTTGCTGCACGAGCCGGGCTGGCCTTGTGAGGAGGGCTGCTTGGAAAGCCTGGATCGCCCGCGCGCCCGCCCGCTTGGCCGTGTCCTTTACTGTCTGTGCGCCCCCCCCTCCATCTCCATCCCTATCCCCTGCCCCCATCGCGAGAGCCTCCCTGCAACCTCCCTTCCAGAGCCGCGAAGAAGGGTTGCCCGCAAAGCCGCCGCCAGAGAGTAGATAGGAAGGTGACTTGAGTCCTACCAGCTGCTGCTTGCAAGAGGAGGAAACGGAGAGCGCCGTGGTGCTGAAAGGACAGCTCCTTCTTCAGCATCGCCTTGGCTCTAGACATCCGCCGGTCTCTCTCCTCCTTGCCTCTTTCTAATCAAGGGTAGGGGAGAAAGAGGGTAGGGCGGGGGACTTGCCCAGACCTCCCTCCCTCCCTCAGCTCTCCCCCCACCTTCTGCAGGCAGGTTCTTCTGCCTTAGATGCTGCTGCAGCTCCGAGGGCACCGGCGACCATGCCTTGATGCCCGCCACCCTCCCCAGCGGTGTCCATGGCGGTGGCAAGGAAAATAAAAACTTTGTTGACTGTGAATATTTTGGTCTTTGTGGGGATCATCCTCTTCTCGGTCTACTGCAGGATCCAGGATCGTTCCCAGGAGTTGGTGCAGATTGTCAGGAGCGCCGACCGGCGGATGAGGAGCCGGAATACCAAGGTGGGAGCCCTCCTGGACAGGGAGTCCATCCTGCAGCGGTTGGACCACCTGGAGGAAGTTGTGTACAACCAGCTCAATGGTAAGCCGGCAGGAGGATGAGCACAAGTGCCTGGGGGTGGTGGGAGGGTTCATACAGGGCTTTGGGGGTGGGTTTAAAAGTACAGCCTGATACTCAGCTAGCTCTCTGTGTGTGTTTGTGTGTGTTTTTACCATGCAATGGTTAGACCACGTGGAGTTTTCTAAGGCTTGGACAAATCACATGGTGCCCCTGTTGAACAGGTCAGTGGAATACCCAGAAGCCTCACAGGTACAGGAGGTGTGTTTAAGATAGAGGAGTTGCTGGGAAAGGGGACAATATAGGATATTTTGATTCAAGCATCTTCTGAGTACTGCCTCTTGAATGTAAAGCTAGGGTAACTCTGGGGCTCTGCTCAGACACCTAGGGTAACTCTGGGGCTATAGAACTCGAGCACGAAGTGGGCATATATCACATACTCATAGTTTAGGGTCCTTTGTTCTTCTTTATACCTAATAGCAGCCAGGATTTATTGCATTTATTGAAGGGTCTAACAATGTAGATAGATAATGGCCAATAATTTTACAATCTCTGTAAGTTTAAAGTAGATCTGCACTTCGTGTAGGCCAATGGTGAGACAAGTGGATTTCTTTATTTTTATAAAAACTGCTTGTTTGCTTCATTTTTTTTTTAACCACTTCAAACAAACCTCAGAGAATCATAGAATTGTGGAGTTGGAAGGGACCCCAATGGTCATCTAGTCCAACCTCCTGCAATGCAGGAATCACTGCAAAAGAATCCCAGACAGATGATGGCCATCCAACCTCTATTTATGGACTCTCCTTCATTGGAGGTTTTTAACTTTCTGAAACAGCCTGTTTCACTGTGGAGCAGCTCTTGCTTTCAGAAAGTTATTTTTAATGTTTAGTTGGAATCTCCTTTCTCGTAATTTCAAAGCAGTTCAGATCAAAGTGGTTTACAAAAAGCCTGTGTTCAAGACTCACTTGTGCCACACAATCATAGTTTGCTGCTGCAGTATATGCACTTCTATTCCCCATCTGTAAAAATGGGATTGCGTGTTCCCACCTGCATGCATATCACTTGAATTCTCATCACATGTTTATGCAACACTTAGGACTGGTTCAGACATGCATCACTTCATCTCACCATGCTCAGGAAGTGAACTATGAATTCTATATGGTAGTACCAAAAATTATGGTGGGCAGTGTAAGGCATGATAGGGAACATGGAGAACCTCCAGATGTTGGTAGGCTACAACTTCCATAACCCCTGACAATTGAGCATGCTAATGGGGGCTGATGGCAGTTGGAGTTCTGCAACATCTGGAAGGTCACTTGATCTTCAACCCTAATGCAAGGAATGAATGATGCCATGGACCCAGCCCACAGCCCATTGGGAAAGAGAGGCTTCACTCTCCCAGTTATGGGGATGCGCTCCCATGGAACTGGAAGGTGCAGTATCACAAAGAGTTGTAGTCTAGTTGTTGCCATAACATGTGGGTGGCCTCACATCACCAGAGAGCTAAGAAGCCCCATATGGTTGGTTGACTCTAAGGGTGCATGTAATAGTAGGGATGTGGTTGATTAAGGAGAAATCTTAGGGGGCTCTGTTTGGGGTACAGAAGCATACCCAAGAGGGAGGCAGGAGAGGATCCCAGTCTGGTTCAAGCCACTATCCTCAGTCCAAGGAACACTTTGAAGATCTTGGTATTTGCTATCCTAACTGCATACTGACTTCACTGGGCAGTGTGATACAAATGTTCTATCTGTGGCTATTGACCTGTGCTGACTTATTCACATAATCAAATTATGTATTGGTTCCACAAGATGTGAAGAAATACCAGTCATGAAAGGCTCACAGATGATGGTGTAAACCATCTCTCTTGTAATCAAAGCCAACATGAAAGTTCTGGCTATGCTGTTTGATCTCTGATGTCCAGTGATGGCTCACCTCTTGATAGAAGTCACCTCTTGATACTGGAGTCACTTATTGTGATGAACATCAGCAGGCATGAGCCAGCCATGCTAACCTCTCTATTGGCACCGCAAACACAGTACACATTGTAAAGCACTTGGCAAGATTAAAAATGTGATAGAAAATATAGTTACAGTAAAAGGTTGCATTGTTATGTTGAAGGTGGATGTTTAACATCCTTTGTACTCTTCTTTGAGTGCCATTTCTGTATCACTTCTGCTACTATTGTTCCTAGTCCTCATGAAGGGCAGAGACCAATTTTATTTTATGAAAGCATACAACAGCTTTTTATTAATCCTACTTGCTGTCCCCCCAAGTTTGAGGTTTTTTTTATTTTAAAAAAAGATCTCATTAGATGTACAGATGAGAACATGTTTATTTGTGGGTTTGAAACAAGATGACTAATAAAACCTGTTTATGTTACACCCCATCTTCCCTGTGCCTGGTGCGTCACAAGTGCATTCTGATTTTACAGATATTCATAAGCAGCTAAATATGTACCCCTAAGGGAGTTACAGCATACAGTAATGAAATTTTGCAACAATTTGGGAGGAAGGAATGTGTTAGATGTAATGTTGTGCCTCAACTCATGTTTAGCGACCAATAAAGCTACATAGATAAGATTAAGGGCACACTTGTCATATGCAGAAAGTTGATTTCCAGTGCAATACTAAATGGAGCTGGGCAGGGTATGTGTTTCAAAGATCACCCATCTCTTCAAGAATCCTGCATGCTTATGGTGGGTGGCAGACTTACCACATTTTCCCTACATGGGGGTACTCTTCCCCCACCCTTGGTTTCAATGGGGAGAAACTGAGTTGCAGCAGATGCAGGCTGGCATAGAGGGAAAGCCTGATCCAGGGACTCGTCAATGAATGAAGTGCGCTCTCATTCTTCTGTGGGCCTAATACCAGCTACCACTAGTGAAACAACTACCAGTCTTAGCACTATGCCTGTGGAACTTAATAACAGACATGCACTACCCCTGGTGAAGCTCTTCTTCACTGGAAGAGATGCACCTCTGCTCAGACCTTAATCCCTCCAGCTGGTGGATCTATGGGATAGGATTTCTCTGGCCAACAGGTGTCATTTCAACTTTCAAAAGCAGTGAAAGTGAAATGGTTAAAATCAATGGTTATATTTTTGATGTTTTTGCATAATGCAGTGCTTTGCTTGCTGGTATATTTCACAGTGAAGTTGCACTGTGACGCCTTTGCATGAGGAGGCTGTGCAACAAAGTTTGTTGAAACTCGGTGATTTTTTAAAGACATGGATCAGGCCCTCCAGTGCGTGAAGAGGGTACTCATGGAATGATCCATTACTGCTGGTGGTTTCTCTTTTTCTAAGACCCAAAATGAGAACTTCGCAAGTAATATTTGGAGGAGGAAGGTGTCCACTCTCTAGGTCAAGATGTAGAATATGGATGGGAATTCTGCAGCCCTCTAGATGTTGCTGGACTGATTTGTCCCAGCCTGCTTGGTCAATGATCAGTGATGAATGCCTGAAGGGCCACAGGTCCCCCAGCCCTGATGTAGAACATCTAAGTGAAATATTTGTCCATGCTTATGTGCTCAGAGCACTAAGACACATGGATTTCAATATCTGTAACTATAAATGTGTGGATGAAGAAGGAAGGACTCCTATCAGGTATTAGATAGGCAACCTATGAGATGCTAACTGGGGATTCAGGTTGTATGTGCACCAACACACTGCTTTGGTAAAAGACGGGAACTGCTATTGCACCGGACTGCTTACATGAAACAACCAGAGTAGGTCAGGTGGCACTCCTTAAGCCCATCATTGGGTTAGTATTGCTAATAAGGATACTTGGCTCTTGCTGCCCATGAGTTATCTTTGCTTTCCTTTGCTTGCTTCCCACTCAACAAGAACCAGTTGTAACAAGAGGGCAAATGTGGAGGACCCCTTTAAGAAGAACCGTTGACCATAGCACCTTATCTAGCTCCGCATACCCTAATTTGCAGCAGCTGGAGGAAAATATTCAGATGTATGCAAGGATCTCTGTGCACCTACTCACACACTTAACATATCTATACCATGCCTTTCATGGAATAATGGCATTAAAAGCTACCTCAAAGGTAATCTAATCCAACACCATGCCAATACAGGAAATCCATGGCTGTAGCATCCCAATTAAAATGTTCGCAGCTGGTTCCATGAGAGAGAGAGAGGGAGAGAAAGAGAGGGGGAGAGAGACTGTAATAACGATGCAGGACAATAACTACACACAGAGACCATTCTCAATCTGTGCAGAAACACACACATACACATACACATACACATACACATACACATACACATACACATACACACACACACCCCTGAGTAAGATGGGAGCCCAAGATGAAACATCCCAGCTCCAGTGACAAAGAGTCAAGGGAACAAGTGATGAGAGGGAAGGTACCACCTAATTAATTAATTAATTAATTAATTAAAGCATCAGTTTAAACTGTGAGGAGACCATAATTAAGGGCATTGTATGCTGGAAGCTAAATCCTGTAAAAACTCAGAGATTAATCCTAGAGGTATTAAGCCTGTAGAAACTTCGTTTCCAGCAGGGAATCTTGATGAGCTACAATAAACCTAGATAAAATCCCAATTTTTATAGAGAGGGTAAAAAAAGAAAAGAAAAAGAAACCCACTGTCATGCAGTGCAGACGCAGCTAATGGGAGATTCAGATTAGAATTAAAAAGGTAGACTTCAGCTTTTGTGCGAAGCTCAGTATAGCCTTCAGTTTCAGCTTTCAGTTTACTATAAAACCTAGCTTCAGGTTTGTTTGTTTTTTAAAGCCAGAGGGTTAAACTCTACCCATTGTCTACTCCTGTGAAAAACAATTCCTATTCCCAGGAAGGTAAATTGCCCCAAACCCACCTTCCTTTCAAGTTTCTGCTCACTGGGATGTAGCCAGGACTATAATTTTGGAACAACCTAGGGATTCTACTGCTTTTGAATTATGGTGCTGGAGAAGACTCTTGAGAGTCCCATGGACTGCAAGAAGATCAAACGCATCCATTCTTAAGGAAATCAGCCCTGAGTGCTCACTGGAAGG